TTTATAAAATAAGATGAAGGCATTGAAAAAGTATTTTAATTTTTTAACTTATAAAAAATAAAAAAAATTCAATGTCAGCCCAAATTGAAATGTCAAGCTTTTCAAAGATCGTGATGGGCCAGAAAACTGCAGTCAGAGCGCCCCCATAGCTTAGAGAAAAACTCCAGTTTGAATGACTCATGCTGTCTGACAAATTGTAACAACATAAAGCAAACTAATTAGTAGAAAATGGTTGGTTTGTGGAAGCATTATAAAACTAAGATTGCTTTCTCTTAATGTAAAGGAGGGTTTAAATGTCTGTGCCAATTTAAAGAGGCAGCAAAGGGAAGGACTTTGAGAGAGACCAGAGGACAAGACTCTTCTTAGAACATTTGTCCTTTCAGCAGCACCATCAAACTCGAGTCGACAGGTATTTCCTCCCAAAGGACACCAGAAAGCACACTACAATGCATCAAGCTTTTTATCCCTGTGTTAGGTAGTAATAATTCAGATGTTTGATGGCCCAGACTTTCTGTCTGTGTCTGAATTTGTTAGGCCTTCATGTTTCAACTGCAGAGCAGGTAAGAAATTCCATAACAGTTTAAATAAGCTCACCTCTTAGTATGCTGCTAATAATCTGCATTATTCTGCTGGTAGGTTGCATTACAAAGATGTCTGCTTTGACAGAATCCAGTTTCCCAGTTAAAAGTTCTACATTGCAGTAAACTGGTTAAAAATACTTCAGTAATAGAATAATGCAAATACTGCACATTAAAAGGAGACTAAACATGTTTTTGAAAAGCCTAAAGCTGTGAACATTTGTCTTAAAAATAAAAAGTTAGTCTTTAGGTTCAACAGTGGCTGAAGATAATTGATTGACAATGACAAACTATTAGCACTGAGCATTCTATCTGCCTGCTTGCATTTACCCCCAAATGGGCATCTTTTTGGATTACCCACACCTACAGGGTTGTTGATTTAATCAACTTTTGGAAATGCCATCAGATTTGACAAAGGTCTGGTAATGAGCCATTAATTTGCTTTGGGTGTGTTTAAGCAGTAATTCCTGTCAAAGGCTCCAGGACCAAGCTTTTGGAAACCAGAGAGGGAGACCCCTGTCCAACACTGTTCCTATAGACACAAATGTAACCCAGACTGCTATTACAAACTATTAACAGTCAAAATAATGTGTACCCTAAGTAGCAATGGTTTAAAAGAAGGGCAGAGGTCTATGGTAACTAAGTGCATTTGCCTTGTTACAGTTCTTAAGTATTTTTCTGAGGATCTGTATTTTTAAATTGAGAATTTTACTTTTATTTTGTTGCATTAGAGGTATAAAATATGTACTTTTACTTCTCTACTTTTTGAGCCATTAAAACCCTCTACAAATTAAAATATGATCAGAGTTTATCGTGAAAGGGTTTGTTTTTGTGGAATTGTCAATTAAAAAAAGAAGAACTGTGTCTATTTGTCCTAGTCATCCAAAATCTCAATAAAAACAATGAACACAAGGTGAATACAGTTCATGTAGTTGCAAAAATATATATCTGGATTCCAGGTACCGAAAAGGTCACAGATGAAGTCTAAAATGGCCCGATGTACTATGTATCAGCGGCAATGGCGCCTCCAGAAATGTTTCATAGAGGTGGCCAGATGGGGCCACTAAAAATCTTAGGGTGGCACACTGAAACTAAAAGCCATAATTTCAGGGTTTTTTATTCTACTATTGTGGTAAACTTGCCAGTAGAAATCATAAAGACTTAAGTAAACTTCTACTCATATTTTGGTTTATTGTGGGATTTTTATTGTTACGTCGCTGACTGTGCACAATGTGACGAAATGCTTAGCTGATGGTAGTACAATTTACACTGGCCAGTGGGTTGCCACCCCCTGGTGGCGCCACTAATCATCGGTACTTTGCTGTGAAGTATATCTAAAGGGTATTTTAACCTAGCCTCATGAGACCATCCTGATCTCGCGAACTTTTAAGATTTCAGTCTGGAGACTCTCCGTTGAAGAAAATTTGGAGCCGTTCACCAAACGAACGTCCAATCAGCATTGGCTTTGAGGCGGGTTGAGGTGTGACGCAACAAGAAGCGCGACAGTTCAGTCTAAAGAACATGGCGGCTTCAGCCGATGAAACTAACGTTAGCGTGGCTATTGAGCAAGTTTTATCGGAATCGGAAGAGCAAAACACTGCTCTGAAGGCTTTTCTCAGAGGAAAAGATGTTTTTGCTCTTCTCCCGACTGGTTTCGGCAAGAGTTTGATCTATCAATTGGCTCCTCTTCTTCGTCGCTCTGTTATGTCATATGCTTCGTTGATCTGATTGGTTTATTTGGCCCGTCTATCACCAACATAGGCCAATCAGCTAACCAGTATTTTCACCCCTTCCCAAAATTAATTCTACGGAAGGTTTCCAGATGGATATGCGGAGCAAATCCATCTGGCGGAGTCAGGTTAATTTTAACCTACCCAAAGTCAAACATCCATTAGCTAAAAGAAGGATCTCAATTTTATATTTGTGATGTTGGAGCAAAGAAAGTGAGCTCAGTTAGGTCCCATACAGTCTACCCTTCCTGTGCAGATTACATTATGTAAATATTTTTCCTTTAAGGGTGTTTTATATGTTCACTTTAAGCTGTGTGCTAACTTTACCCATTAACAGAACTCAGGGAACCAAAGGGCAAAAAAAAAAAAAAAAACGGTTGAACATCAAGTTCACACATTTCAGGCAAATTGTAAATTATTCTATTTCCACAGACTATAACCCACAAACTATAAGATGGCATGAATATCATTTTTTTAGGGGTCCAATGCCTTCAGGCTTTTTCCACATACAGCAGCTCTGTAAAGACTGGAATATTCCTTATGGAGACTAAGATTCAGACCATTCATCATTTACACATGAATTTGGTTGTGAGGTCTAGTCTCTGGAGTGAATAGTTTTAGTAGCAATCTCAGGGAAGTATTGTTCTAAACTCGGCAGCATTACTGCAAGGGATAATTAAGATGCTTCAAAGTTTTTCTTCAGTCTGTGGCCCGAGGCTCATAAATAAAAAGACCACTTCAAACGGCAAGTAATTAAATTTCTATGCAAATTAATGAGACCCAGTGTTTACGCCTTCGTGAGACAGTCAGTGAAGCAACAGGGACCGCGCTCCAGTGGCGCTGAAGCTTAGCTCCAAACTCATGGAGTGGTTTGTTGGCGGGTCTCTCAAGAGAGCAGATAGATGAAATGCAAACAGCAAAGGCTAACAGTCTTGTTAGCAAAACCTTCATCGTTCCATAATCTATTTGACAAAAACAGGCTTATCAGAATTCGCCTGTGGCTTTATATTTCTGATGGATTAAAATATGAATTGCTTTCAGAAATCTCTATTATTCCCCCACTGGGTTTCTATTTTTTTATTTTTTTTGTCAGTAAACTTGTTAAGCATTTAATATGTTGTCAGTAAGTCCCTGAGGAATCTGATGATAAGTCTGAGCTGTTTGCAGATGTTAAGAGTCAATAAGTTGTAGCTTGCAGGGAAATTATAGCTCAAAATTAAACACAGTAAATGTTTTCTGCAGAAAGACGTAGGAAACATTTAGAGCTGCAATAATGAAAGCAATAAAGCTAATTTAAAGACTTTCCTTTAATAACGAATATAAGCAATGATTTGTACTTCTGATTCCAAGCTCTGGATTAATTAGGCTATTTTTTATATTTATAATGATTAAAACTTACTATCAGTATTGTTTTTTTTTTGTCAGAAAACTTAACAAAATCTAAGAAATGAGCAAAGAAATACACATTTCTGTTTGTGTTAAACAGAAAATGAGGTATGCTGGTGTAGATTCTCAATGATCCAGGTCATAGTCATTCCAAAAAAAAAAAATTTAAAACAAATGACGTTTTTCTTCCCATCCAAGAAGCTTTTTCAATTCAAAAATGTCAGGAATAGTGTTGAGTTTGAGGTTTTGGTTGAAAATTAGGTTGTTTTTAGTTTTTTTGTTGTTGTAGAAATTAAGTTACTAACAATCTAATTCACCTTCTTAGAAAAAAATGATCCTTCTTTTATCCACTCAGCCCACGATATGAGCAAAACTTTTCTACATGAGCTCTAGCAACAATAAGAATGACTGGAAATCATTCCATCAACCTTCAGGTTTAAAGAGAAGAGGTCTTTTAAAGCTCTGAAACCAGACTTTCCATTAAATCTTTTACAAATAACTAACATCAGGACATCACACACTGATTAAGTGCAAAAACAAGAATACGCATCAATAACAAGAGACTTCTAGACAAAGAATAAATAAATAAATAAAAAAGGAGGAAAATATATATAATAATGCATATTTTCATCTTTTGGACCGAACCAATCTGAATATTCGCAATGTTCTATTGCGAAATTTTTTTTTGTTTTGCACTGGTGTAAACAAAATTACAAATAAAATCTGTAGGTTTACTGACAAAATAGGAATGATTAAGACTTTGTGTTCAAAGAGTAAAAAGAAAAACATTGCTGCTTATTTTGATTAAACTGATTTGATATGATTAAATTTTTTATTCTTTGAAACTTGTTCAAATGAATAGAAATGAAACAGCTTTCTTTCTTTCTTTCTTTCTTTCTTCCTTCCTTCATTGGATGAATGGATGGATGATTGAAATAACTTCAGTTGCACTGTCTTTGAGATTCTTTCCCATTCTCTGTCATTTTAAATGACAGACAGCTCTCCCTAATATTAGCCTATTAGATACCCCCCCCCCCTTTTAATTTGATATCGTTTGATCACAAATTAAAAGTAGCTATATTAATTTAAGCAAAGTATATAATCCACCAGAACATTCCGGGGCTTCTAAACCAAGTAGAAAGAAATGTTTCTTGAAGTGGCTCCGCTCTAAGCGCTCCAACGCGGATCTACTTTACGCGCAACTTTTTCCACTTGGAAACTTTCTCCTTCAACAGAATCAGCTCCGGAGAAACGCTCAAATAAATCACCTGCGCACACTCTTCCTTTAAAGACCCGTTTGTCTTACCTCTGCCATGTCTGCTGGAGGCTGAGCTGAAGAGGCAGGAGAACCAGGCGGCGCACAGGATCCAGGAGCGAAACACCAACATGCTGCTGCTGCTGTTCATCCAGGCGACTGAAAAGTTAGCAGGAAAACTACAAGTTTTACAGCTCAAGTGTGTGTGTGTGTCAAAGGGTGTGGACTTCCGTTTGATAAGAGCGTCATATTAAATTCCCCCAAATTTCCTTGAAGCTCATTCATTTCCCTGTAGAAAAATGAGCTGATCTTCAAACTAAAGAGGTTAATTAATAAAAATAGCTGGTTATTCAAAATACTTTACATTAACACATGAGGCCCATTTAGGATTATCCACGGGTTCCTCACTGAATTCATGTTACACCTACAGTAAATAGTCCTACATGTGTATAGAGATAAGTTTGACTATAATATAAATGACTATATTATATCAAATTGATGGCAATTCTTTTATTGAATGCTTTATACATTTTAATATATTTTATTCTTTTATTGCTTTTTATGATTCCTGGTCCCAAATTAGGAAAACCCTAAATCCAGTTTGTTAGGATATTAGAATATAACATTAAACCAATGTCTACGGATAAGTTTGTTCATGTTCTGTACAGTATTTGTATTGAATTCAGTTTATTTCTATAGCGCCAATTCACAACACAAGTCATCTCAAGGCACTTTACAGTTCAACCAGATCATACAGTCAAATTGATTCATTGGTTCTGAGTTTTAACCCCACTCCCACAGGCTGACACTCTGGGTCTCTAAGCAAGACCATTAACCCCACACTGCTCCCAGGGCGCCCCACAATGGAAGCCCACTGCTTCCCAAGGGGATGGGTGAAATGCAGAAGTAAGTTTCTCCAATGTGAGATCAATAAAGTAAAATTATTATAATCAACTCTCTGGTTTGGACTAATTTAGCTTGAATTAGTGCATCAGTGCTCCATGGTGTGGAGGAAAGCAGTCTTTGGTTTTGCAGGAAATACATGAAGCAAAGGTTGCTTTAGAGGCCCTTATCTCATTTTTTTTCTTTTTTTGTGTGTGTGTCTCATCTTCATCTTGAAAACAGTCCAAAGATTTTTAGTAAGTTTTTGGTCCGACCTGAATTAAAATCATCTACGTTTCTCCATGAAGGCTTGGTTGAACCCTGCCTGATCTATAAACTGTGCCATTTGTGTTGTATTGTTCATAACCTGCTCTTATTCAAATAGAATAAAACAAAACTAGAACATTCTTGCTGGGCTGTAAACAGCTCATTATAAAACAACAAACAAACAACATCTCTTTACTCTTTTTCCAGACTGTAGGACCTTTATATCCGAGAGAAAGAACATTTCCCTTTCGTTTAAAAACAGGACTTTGAACCTCTGAGTAACAGTCCAGTCATTTCTTTCTCTTAGCTCAGGAGTGTGATAGTTTAAGCTCATATCCTGGACACACCTCAGTGTGGTGGCTCCTGACGCTCCTTCTCTACCTGCCCTTCCATTCCTTCTAAATCTTCCTTAAAAATCTTGAAAGGTTTTGTGACAATCATCTTGAGGCTGAAATGATCCCCTTCTTTGCACACCCTCGTCTGCTGCACTCTTTCCTTCCACGAAACTTTCCTTTGATATGCTTGCATACATCCCCAGCTTCTTCCAACTTTATTTACAGTGTAGAGCACTTTAAAATAAACTCAGAGGCCAAAGGGCTGTGCAGGCATCATGATTGTTCGCTGAACACCTGTCAATGCAGCATTTCTGCCTAAGATTGTGTAGATCAAAACAAAACATTTCTGCATTACACACCTTTTAATATTGCTCTAAGGAGGTGTTTTAATTTTCTGAACAATCTAATTATCTGTGTTTTTCGGCTATAAAACATAATAATCTAAATCAACATAAATAAGCCCATCCGTCCATCCATTTTCTGTCATGCTAATCACAAGGGTTGCAAGGGGTGCTCACAGCTATCTGCGTGTGAGAGTTGGGGTACACCCTGGACAGGTCGCCCATCCAACGCAGGGCATCACAGAGACAAACGGGACAAACAACCATTCACACACACACACTCACACCTAAGGAGAATTTAGAGAAGCCAATTAACCTAAGAGTCATGTTTTTGGACTGTGGCAGGAAGCCAGAGTACCCGGAGAGAACCTATAAATAAACAAGAAATATAAATTACTATAAATTTGTAATATTGCAACAATATATAAATGTAGGTTTCACTTTTGAACTGAAATGCTGACATAATTCAAATTAAAAATATTAAAGCTACAGTGTGTAATAATTACAGGTATATACAGTCAGAAATGTAATATATTATACATAACTATGTTATTTATCATCATCTACGAGCTCAGCCTCTTAACCTTAATATTTGCGTTGCCTTAGAATTCGTTATTTATAATTACATAGGAGCGGGTCTCGCAGCCATGGAGGCAGACATCTTTGCGCTACGGCAGCACAGAGCCAACAAACTAGCGATTGCGAGATCACCAAAACGTCACAACGATGTAGAAAAAATAACGGGTATATTTATTACCTTAAGTCTACATGAAATCTATACCCTACACAGACTAATGAAATACTATCTGTAAAATTATCTATGTAAACAAACCTCATCACTTGAGAAGGTAGGTGATGCGGACATCGTGGAAGACATTTTGTCCCGTAACGCTCGCCGTACTGTTGGGGGGGAGAAGCGGTGGGGGGAGATGTTCATGTTGCTGCAGTCTGCAGTCTGACCGCTAGATGTCGCTAAAAGTTACACACTGTAGCTTTAATATATACTGATTTATGGTGATTTTCCTGCAATTATGGGGCCTTCATTGCATAGAATACATTAAATAATGGGGTTAAGATAGGGCTTGTGCTTGCATCCTATTTGTGTTTCATGCTGGAAGGCTCTGGTTCTTAAATGTGTTCTGCAATTTGAACAAAATGCGGTATTCACTCAGCAGGTGAGTTTGAAACAGGAAGCAGTAGAAACGCCAGTATGAAGCTCCCATCCACATATCAGTTGTGCAGTGTTTAAAGTTCATTAAAGGTGCAACAGCAACAACAGAAACCAGGGGGAGGTGTTCAATCTCAGGATCTGCTTTTAAAAATAAACACAAGCATTTTCTCAAACAGAATGTAAGAGGTTACCTCTTAAAACTGAGTTTTGTGTCGCGTATTTCAAACCTGCTGTAGTACATCTTAGCATAATGAAAAGTTTCCAGTTAAAGTCCAGGGAGGAATTTATAATATACAGAAGTTTGGATCTTTGGAGAGCTTTTGAAGCCCCTGCAGCACCACTGGGTCTGATGCATAATGTAACTGAGCTCCAGTATGACACCTTCCTGAGTTCTCAGCATCGTCTGTGTACCTCATATTGCCTTAAACATCTTGGTGAAAATACCCAACATGTTGCTAAAATGTAATCATGCTGGATTAATGCAAATATTATTAAAACAGTTTTCATTTCAGGAGCTCAGATTAATAATATACATCTTGATTAAGATAATTTTTTCCGTACAGTTAATGGAAACATACAAGGAGGTTAGAATATCATATACTTTGTTACACATATTATCTTAGAATATTACACAAAAACAGTAAATAAGCACATTTTAACACAGAATTATGGAATAAGTGAAAAGTTATTTATTACCTGCTTTATTAAAAAAAAAAAGTACTTTTAATTTAGTTTCACTGGAAGGCGTCTTCTAATCTAGTAAACATACACAAAGAAAGTCTGGAGAACACTAAGACTCTGGGATTTTGTCATTGTTAGGTTTATTCAGTGATGATTATAAAATTAATGTGTGCTTATAAAAATTTGTGCAAGGGGATGCTTTACTCCTGTATCATGATTCAGTCAGGAGACCATCCGGCCTTGTCATTCTGATGGAGCATTCTGTCTTCATGAACTGATCAATTGTTCTGTCAGAACAATACTCTGTTTGTAACCATGCGTCATGTTCTGTTAATAAACGCTCTGCAGAGGAGGTCCAGGGGGAGACAGTGTATTTGAGTCTGGGGTTCAACTGTCTCTCCTTCCTGCAGGAATTGTATTCAGAAATTGTGTAATTCAGTTCTTCTTAAGAAAAAACCTACATTTTATGAACCCGACAGTCATATAAATATAAAGTGTTCAAATCCGGACCTGCAATTTAGTTTTAAAATGCACAAATAAACAAAGATTCAGTGGTTACACAAGTCTGCTCTCCCTCTAATGACTGTGGATGTGGGGAGGGAAAGAACAAAAACAAAACAGTATTTGACATCTTCATCTAATGCTCCTTTGTGTGATCTTGCCTTTCAAAGATTTCCAGTTCCGGGTGTTTTTTATATATTGCCTAAATGTATTGCAAAAAAAAGGTGTTGCAAGATAAGGGTGGAGGTGAGAGGAAGGTCAACTTTCAATTCATTAATCTAGTCATGCTACGCACTTGCAGGGTATAAATGTTTTGAGCTCTTAGTCATTATACTGATTAATTATGTGCAACTGCGTTCTAATGAGTCTGGTCAGGGAGGCTGTGGAGATGCCGGCAGCAGGGTTAAAGAGCTCCTGTAAGTTCATTTCACTACTACTTCTTCATGTGTCAAGGCTCCGAGGATGGGTGGGAAAATGGAGGCCTGTTCATACAGTGCAAACTGTTCAAGCCTGTCTTATTCTTTTTAGAAACACAGCATGAGTTTATGAATAAACATGAATAAACAAGTGTGTACTGGTACGATGAAAAAGAAGATGGAAATTTTTTATGAATAAAAGGCATATTTGGTAAAAACACAGCACTGCTCATCCCAATGTTGCACGGCGGTGGCAGGATCATGCTTTATGACTTGTTTTCTTCAATTTGTAACTTGGGCTTTAGTTTAGGAGAATTTCGTCTTCATCTTTTAACAACAAAAAAAAATCTTATTTTAAAAAAAAAAAGAGAAAAAAGGACAGGACGATAAAAATCTGCTGTATAAATATCCATATATATAAATACCCATGTACACACCCTGTTCAATAACCATGTTACAAAAAAAAACTCTCATATGTGGACGCATTGTATATTCTGTATATATATCCCATGCACCTTTTTCTTCCTTTGCCACCTACTTCTTCTCTTTTGACTATTTGAGCTGATTTTAACGAGTGAATTTCTTCACTGTGAGATTATAAAGTAAGTCA